GTGAATTTTTAATTTTTTTTCGATTTTCTCATAAAATCCAGTGCAGCTGAGGTCCTGTTGATGCGTACTATAATTTAAGTAATAATACTTTTGCAATCCGTACATCCAATACAGAGATTTTTCACCGAACAGAAATGTGGTAAAACAGGGAGCTTTAACATCGCCTTAAGATCCAGCTAGACCGTTTAGGCTTTGATTTCTATAAATTTTTTAAGTTTATATTTTTATCCTTTTAATTCTTTGTAATTAAATTTTACTGAGTAGAAATAGAAAAATATATATCATTTTTGAGTGGGAACAGAAAGATCTTTAAATAAGAATAAAAATATATGTACTACTTTAGGTTTTATTTTTAAGAAATGAAGATTTGTAATAAATTTGGAATATAGTTTTTTGCATTTCAATTTTATTTTTTAAAAGAAGTAGTATAACAATAATATGTTTGAAAAAAAAAATTATGTTTGTAATTAACGCAATTTAAAGATTTCATATATTTTTTAAAAAAATTATATATATATATTTGAATTGAATAAAATGATACAATTTTCTAGTATCATCATTTTTTATACCACTGTTTTTTAAATGAAAATAATGAAACAGAAACTTGTATGAACTTTTTAACATTCAAATTTTTGTTTGTAGTGTAATAATTCTTTAATAATAAATAATCTAAACATTGCGGGTTAGTTTGCAGACTCAATATTTTCAGTTTTGATTGGTGGCTGCTATCAGCCAATCAGCAAACGAAACCCGTTTGCGTTTCTCCGATAATATAGAACCAGAGAAAGACCTGAGACTCCTGAGAGAGGACATGCCGGCCCAAAACCTGTAACCGCAAAATGCTGCCGCGCACTACTGCCCCCTGACAAAGTAGATGTAAACTAAGTAGTTCTGAGGATAATACATCCACTTTTCTGAGGATAATACACGTTCACTTTTGAACTCCAGATGATAAATGGATACTTGGTTCATATAATCGTGCTACATTCACAAATCGTGCATCAGAAATATTTATCTCTGCAATCTTACATGCGCGTGATGTTTATTTCGCTTAAATGTATTAACATTAAATTTATATCATATTTTTACAAATGTGTTAATATTTATATTTTAAATAAGCTATATAAATATGAATTAAGGGGATGCTAAACCGATTACCCAACTCAATCAAGGTCGATAGTACAGACTTTTTTAATTCCAATTTCGATAATAGTGGCGACATCTTTGATTTAGTTTTTACATTATATTATATAATATATATCATTCTGTCTTACTCAAACGCATACATCTGTTCTTATCTAACATATGCCAGCACCATCTATCGCAAGACCGCGCAACTACTACTACACGGAATTTCGGCTCTGTTGACAGTCCCAGTTTCCGCAAAGCATCTGTATACACGTATTTCCTATTCGGTGGGAATATATCTTTTCTAGACTTTCAATCTTAGTTCTACAAATTCGGTATCGTTCGTTTCAATAATGTGATGTTTGCTGCCCGCTTATTTTCAAGATATGGACTCTAAAACTCTTATATCAAGCAAATATATATCCGAGGTGACAGCTGTGCGAGCCAAAAATAAGTAAATTTTATAATTTTTTTTCGATTTTCTCATAAAATCCAGTGTAGCAAACATCCTCTGTGTGCGTACTATAATTTAAGTAATAATACTTTTGCAATCTGTACGTCCAATACGGAGAAATCCCACCGAATAGGAATGTGGTAAAACAGGGGGGCTTTAGCATCGCCTTGAGTTGTATTTCAAACATTTTATTTTCATTAAACACATTTTTATAGTTTATTTATTTTATTTGTTATTTTCTTATTACAATACTAAAATTTCAAAAGCATGTAATGACAAAATTAATCTAAACTTTGTAGTATAAGTACTTTAAGTATTTAAAATGCAATTACAAGTTTTATTGCGACGCGAAAATTAGATGTTTAATAAAATAAGGAAACAATATGTTTTGTTAACAATAACATAAATTAAAAGAAGAGCTGATGAGCCAAGCTGATTAATTATATGTATGCTTGTAATTATCAATTTTTATACACAAAAATTTAAACAATGTCAAGAGTTTTAACCCGAAATATTTTGTTTATTTACAGAACCATATAACCATCCCTGGTAGCAAACTGACGTCAAAATGACGTCATTTGACGTCTAAAAAGACATCATTTTACGTCAAAATGACGTCAAAATGACGTAGCTTGCTACCTGGGATGCAATTTCTGCATCTAAAGCTGAAACATTGCTCTATCGAGTGATATAAATGCTAATTTTAAAAAAAATAGAACATATATGCATTTGAATTAAAAATATAATATTACTTTCTTTTTATAACTATTGCGCAATGATTATAATAAAAGTATACTCATATTTTTAACTCAAATTTATATGTCTATATTCTATTTTTTTAATAAAATTGGCAATTATACCATTCGATAGAGTAAAGTTACCAAAATTGTTATCTCATTATCCGGTTGAGTCTCCAAAGAGAATATCAATGTTGAGATAGAAATATGAAGTATTGCAATTTAATTAAATAGAATAATTTTTATTTTATGTGTGATCTCTCTGTCTCTCCC